ATATCCAGTTGCTTGAGTAACTGCTTTTTGGCGTAAAATTGCTTATCTTTATTCAGTGACTACCAACCTGATGTAACAACGAATATCCAGCCCCATGCTAATTCCATCATATATTTTGACACTTAAAAAACATATTGTAGAATAAAAGGACGTGTGCTAAATTTGGACCCTGTTGTGCACCCCGAACGGCGTGTTTATTTTAAACGTTTTACGTTTTAGGGCACTTTAAAATTTGGATTACCTACGTTTAACGTGACTGGTGCATTGGCACATTTTGCTGTGTTAAAAACTAAAACATTCAATCATTTCTTAACTCTTTTATTGCCACACGGGGAATTTTAGTACTATCTAAATGAGAATACGTCAAAATACATCCGTTACCTGAACAAGACACCCCCGTGTCACATGCCTGTGTCTCCTGAGCAGGTCCGTCACAGTCTGCCCCACCGTTCTCTGGTGCAGGGTTGGTGCAGGTTCTGTCCCGAGTCTCCGTCCCCACTCCACACGTCACACTGCAGCCAGACCATGGGCCCCAGTCAGACCAACCACCGTCAACTGCAGTAACTTCAACGACAGAAAATAATGTATGACAAATATGCGAATTCAGACTTGCTTTTGCGAATTTCAACCTAACGTTGATAACTTGTAACATGTCTTAAACTCATATTGTGGAAGCATTTAGTTTAAAGAATTTACTATTTTGTTATTACGAAATAACTTTGAACCATTAACCAACGACTAGATTAGATGTGTGTATGGTGCACGTTACTGATAAAATATATTGATTTAGTCATGTTCCTTCTTTTTCTCTTACTTCTTCTCCTGACATTTGGTCACATTTGTCGTATTTTAGCCAAATGACATGACATTTGGAACGGAGGTAGAGTGGGCCAATAGCTCGGACGTTTTCTTAAACATTTTTATACAGTCTTTTTGACTGTTGAAAATCTACAACTTGCATTCCACTAAAAAAAGTCCATACAAGTAATGTATACAACCATTTCATTTTTCATTTTAAACCTCATACTATAGGTATATGGATGGAAACATTGTTTTTCTTCTTGTTTTCCTTTTCCCTACCATTTCGTTAAATGGATTCATGTTTTGGGGCTAAATGACCTGAAATTTATATGATATCTAAGGAAGTACAGTGTAGCGTAGGTAGCTAATCTACAAGCAGAAACCAGGTGACGTGGATCTCTCAAAGTATCAAAAAAAAGTACTAAAGACAGGGAGATCTTGGAAAGCACTGTGGAGATTTCAAGAACAATGCAACTAAAAAGCACTGATGGATTTTCTTAAATCACCTTATCCTGAAAAGCTTTACATGGGGGCTTTGTGAATACTTATTACTGAAAAAAACTCAGTCGGGTTTCGAAAATATTTTACTGAAAAGTACTGTAGGGGACGGGGTGACAATATTTCACTCAAAGCACTGTATGGGTATCTGAGAATACATTGGAGTATTGGAACATTTCACATTAATGAGCACTACTCGTATAATGTTGCTAAGAAACAGTAGTCCATTTATGAATGGGGAGGGAGATGATGGACTGAAATATGCTGCATTTACTCCCCTGCAAATGTCTGACTTCCTAGTTTAACACAGCGATTTTTGGAAAAAAATCTCTAAAACACTTGTTAGTGGGAATCAGTAAGATGTGCGATTATAACACATACCTAGCTGACAGATGAATCCAAAGATTTTTCTGCAAGATGCATCATTCCAGAAATGTGTGGAATCAAGAAGTGCGACACAGTCTTCGCCCACATTAGCATCGTTCGGCTCACCGGGGTTCCAGTTAGAATAGCCGGATGACGCAAGTGTTTGGCCGTTTTCGTACACAAACTGGCCTTCGTTCGCGATGTCTGTCAGTCCGATCCAGCGTCTTTGAGCCCCCACCAGATCATGGATGAAAGTGCTGATCGCGCTATCCTTCGGCATGGCCAGTAGTCCCCCATCTGCGGCACACGTCCGTCTAGCCTCATCGTACGTCTTCTCCTCAGCAAAGTCCATGTAGCAAACTCCGTTAAAACTGACGTAGCTTGCTATTGGACACGCTGTGGGAAGGGAAACATGGATTGGTGGCTTGATAAAAATGTTTCTGCCATTCACCAAATAACTTTTGTCATGATAAATGTTAAGCTGTATTACATTTGTAACATATTAACTAAGAATTCAATGACTTTATACCTAAATAAAACACTTAAAGAATTTTTAATTGCCTCATGGAAATGTGATTGAAATGTTTGGCATAATTTATAATAGACATATATACTCAAATAATATATGTCATATTTTTAGAGCAATCCTTTGGCAAAATGTTGTTCCAAAACTTTATTCCAAAATTTGAATATTTTCTCTACATTAACAGACATTAACATACATTAACACACATTTACATACATTCGAGGACCTTGTGTCTTCTATCAAAATGCATATGTTACCTATTTCCACACTGGTGATAACTTAACATTCTTCAAACATTATCTTTTATTACATGCGTACTCAAGTTCTTTTCTTGAGATCTAAAGTTTTCCAAATATAGCCATCTGAAGTTTTTCTTTCATGGCTGTAATTAAAGCAGTAGAAAGATATTGTTAACTCATATATACAGTTAAAAAAATGAAGAGAATAATATTTGCTGTACCTGGTATGTGAGCCTCTACAATAGTTGGTCCTGCACCTATTGCGCTCTTTTTTTCCACGAACCAAGATGGTTTGTCTCCTTTCTGAGTAACCATGGCATACGACTCTCTGAACCCTATAATGAAATATTCAATATTTAAAATATACTATTCTCAACTAACACTAAAAAATGAGCACAGAAAATCTGGCCTATATTCACTGCATAACATGAATGTTTAAAATGTTAAATTGATATTCAACCAAGGATTAAGGTGTTCAAAACTCATTTTTGCTAGAGCTATCATAGAGTGGAAATCACTGATATCAAGTTCGGTATGGTAATGATACATAAATGAAACATATTTTATCCAAAGACGTTACAATATGCGGATTCGGCCAGAATTAAACTTTCCTTTACCTTGATTTATTTAATCTTTTCTAATCTAATCTAATTGTACCAAAAAGCAAAAATGTACCTGAAGTGAGAGTGATGTTTAGTCTTTTATAGCTCTAAAGTAATGCTTTGTTTTAAATAAGGAATTAAAAGATTACCTAGCGCAGTTGTAATTGTAGAACCGTATGGCACCAGGTTGACTTGGGCGGCGGAGCTGCTGTCATGAACAACGATAGCTAGGATCCGTCCCTGCAGTGATATAGGAGCAAATAAATATGATAGAGATATTATAATAGCATAGCAGGAAATGTAACATGCCGGAACTTCATAAGTCCAAGTTTATGTTTAATTTGGACATTGTTATCGTTATGTCTTTTATATTTACCTACAGTATAGCATGTTGTTCTAAGTGATGTTGTTATCTAGTTTTACATTTATTTTTTTTATTCCAACATGTAATCACCAGACGTGGTGACGACACACTCAAGTTTCTTCAACTCATATTAATGCCACCACCAACACAGGGGACAAATACATTACAGGACAATACTCATTTACACCTGAGCTTAGTGAGAAAAGCCGTGTAAAGTGCCTTTCCCAAGGACACAAGATAGGTGGCATGTCAGGACTCGAACCCGGGACTCTTAGTTCCGAGTCGCGCACTCTGCCGCTACGCCACACGACCCCACTTAAATTTCCTAATCCATAAATGTTTGGTGAAAGCATAACATCGTTTAACCCTATGTGAGGTTTTTAAATAAAAACGTATAATTATGAAAGATCAGTCTACATCAGACCTTCTTGTACCAGTATATCGACGATGCTTACCGCTGCAGCGCCTTCTAGAAATGTCGTTAGTTGTCCCGCCGCTTGAGTGCCTCCCTCATGGGTGTCGAAAACAGCCTTGTCGATAACTTCTCCGGTCCGCTCATTCAAAATAAATGCCTGATGCCCTCGTCCATTTGGATAAACTGATGGTGTTAAAGATTTACAAATGACCGCCACATTACCATAATCTATGCAAAATGTATATTTTTGTTCACATTTAGCTGGTTTACAGGTGTCACAAGCATGAAGCTACCATTGCTAACAACTAAGGAATCAAAAGATTTTAATTGATTTTAAAAATTAGGACGTTTTCTGCATGGTTTGCATCTGTTTCACCTGCGAAAGCTTCCGTATGCTATATACATTACAATCATATTATGCAAAACACTGAGATTATGAAATTCCATCATTGCTTTCAGCCTTGTTCACACCTAACCGCCTGAACCGCGATTCGGGTAATTCGCATTTCTCACATCCGGTCCACGTGCCACACGTTCCTTTTAAATCATGCCTAATCACGATGCGCCAAATCTACATTTTTGTTGTTTGTAAAGTAGCAAAGTAGCGAAATGATATAATATCTATACCGGGCGAAAGCATGTGTTCCACGAACTCTAGTTCTAAAAAGTACGAAGGACAGCTTTCAGGGGCCCATGTTCGACATTGACCTTCGCATTCCAAAGACCTAATATCATAACAGGCTACCCAGACAAATGTACCCTTCCATCAATTTATACCGAAAATGCACAATACTAACTTTTATCCTTACCAGTTTGTTGAATTCTGATTTCCTGTCCGTTGCTGACGATGTACGACTTGTTTCTGAATTCGTCATCCAATGCACCCGGGTCGTTATATCCAGTCGAATGAGCCTTTACGATAAAACCTCCTGTGCCTAAAAAAATGCACTGTGTTAGAACTTAGCGTAGAACACATGTGCCGTCAACTAGAAAACTGTTGTTAATTCATAATAGATAAATAAAAATTAGAAAAAGTTGGGGAAGTTCGTTTTTGCCCTCTGAAAAAAAAAACTTCCTGACTCAAATCTCAAGTTGGTTACAATGTTTATTAAATGCAAAAACAGGGAAATTTCTGGGAAATTCAGGGGCAGTTTACATCTGGCGCTTGAGACTAATCTCACTCACATCATCGCTGTAATCAGTAATCAAAACAACAACATTTAGTTTATGCAGTGCGGACTTTACTTCATTTGAACAAGGGAGTTCCTGTGAAACTGTTCATTATTTTTAAGAAAAGATTTTCCGTTGAGACTGGCTGAACGGAAGCCGCGCGCGGAATCACGGTAGTAACCTGATATTCTTCCTATGAATAGAAACTTTACCCTAGGAACCCATCACTGTGTATATTTATACGTTCTATGGTAGTCGTTGATTCGTGTTGATTTTCATTGATGACCCAATCCACATTCAGTGCATGAATTGTTGTCTTTGTCGTCATATATATATGTGCCTGTGATTTAGTCTTACAGCAACCTAGGCTCCGAAACCCATAAACCATGTAATGATCTTACATATTAATTGATTGCAGCGAAGGCCTACCTGAAAATACTTGGACTTCACACAGCTGCAGCGTCCGGTTTGGTCCGGGAAGACGGATGCCCACATATCGCCCCTTCATCCCTGCACATGAGACGGTAATGGACGGCTGAACGATTTGATGATCACCTCCACACTTGGGGTTCATGCTGACCTGGTCGGAATCCCCGATGTGGATGTTGAAGGGGTTAATAAGCCACGCACAACAGTCCAGGCGGTTGAAGATGACCACTCTATAGATATTGAAAACGATGCAATGGAATGTTTACATGTACGTTCGCTAAAAAGCATTTAAAATTTTGATATATCCTTTTACATTGAGCCATTTCACTGTGCATTGAATGACACAAATTAGAAGTAAATCACCAAATTGTATTGTTGGACCTTCAAGTCAGTATTGGTTGATTCATCACGTGCAGATTATTATCATAGATTTAAAAAAAAAATATTATAATGAACTAGAAAGGCCGACATTTGCTCGTGAGCAAATGCAGCAAATGGCTTCACTACACCCCCGAACCAAAAATTGATCCATCTCCCACACAAGTGGATTGTTCCTAAATTTCCCCTGTCCAAAATTTAAAGTGTTCCGATAGTATATACCCCCATGCAGCAATGGAATCTTGCAATGCCTTCTGTTGGAACATGTAGAATGTTCTAGAACCAAAAATGTTCTATTTAGAACTGCCATTTAATGATTTTCAAGCTACAATTGCTGCTTTACTGAAATTAAGGTACGTAAATAAAAGTATTTTAAAGGGCTGAATCTGAATAGTGAACACTATAGTCTAAACATTTGGGTACAAGCTACCCTTATGCAGAATTTCAGGTTATTTGGTTTTTGTGTTAGTGCACAGGAGCACAAAAAAATGGATATTTTGGGTCAAAGATTTTGGGTCAATTTTACATAACTTTTTAAAGTTATACACATCCAAAGCATGAATAACATTTTGTGAGCTTATATTCATTAATCTTCCATACCAAATTTAAGGGCTTTTGGCTTTAGGATTAGGGCACAGAAAACAAAAAAATGTACATGTTTGGTCCGAAAATACCCCCAAAGCCACATTTTACACAATTTTAAAGTAGTATATGTCAAATGCGTGAAATGACATTCCTTAGACATGTGGTCAAGGCATCCCCATACCGGATTTCAGGTCATTCGGATTTAATATTAGGGCACAGCAGACAAAAATGTACATTGTTTGTCCGAAAATAGCCAAAAAGCCCCATTGTTTCAATATTTTAAAGTCTTCTATGTCAAAAGCTTGAGTGAGGTTTTGTAAACGACACATGTCCAAGGTATCCCCATACCAAATTCCAGGTCATTTGGTTTTAGTACCAGGGCTCCAGATCCGAAGATGTATATTTTTGCCGGAAAATGGCAAAAAAAAAATAAATAAATAAAACAATTTAAAAAAAACGCCTGGGGGTATTTACTGCTCTATGTATACCTCCATGCCAAATTTCATGTCATCTGGCCCAAAAATTAAGAAATTGAATCAATTTAACGAAATGGCAGAAGAATGTTAGGCCGCAACATCTCTTATAATAGTATGTTAACCTGAAATGTAACGGTCACTGTTAACTGTTCCTAATTGTTTATTTTCTTCTTTTGAGGGCTAGCCCTTTTTAATAACCTTAGGCTATTTAAGCAGTCCTGGATGTATATTCAGTCTAATAAATCAAATCAAAGAAGAAGGAGACTAAGAAACACAAGGGATAGCAATATGTTTCATTCGTGGTGTGGTAAAGCCATAAATATTGAATGCGCGTCTCTTTGTGTGCACATCAGTATTTATTTATTTATTAGTAGGCCTAAGCTTACTCGTCATAATGACTGAAATGCTGTACACGTACCTGTCAACCATGTACGATTGTCTGAGATCCACCCACCAGCTTGGATCTGCCTCTCCGGCCCCTGCAATAGTGTTTGCACAGGAACCGGAGTAGTAATTGGCATTGGTGTTCCCGTCAACAGCAAGGTTTGGATGTCCATGCCCCTCGAGGCTTGTTTGGTACGCTTTCTTACTCAGGGCGACATTGACACCTGTCACAGGCATAAGAACTGTCATCAGCAGTGTTACATTTACACCAATAATTGAAATTTAACAAATTATTTTCCATTCCCAAGACAGCAGTTTTGGAATACATAGAAGTCTACTTCCGATCATCTTTGTTTTGTTTTTTGTTTGTTTGTTTTGTTTCGTTTCATTAATATCATTTAATAGATCGATTAGCGAGGATAGTACCGTGATGTCATACAATAGACCCTTTCTTGAATACAAGCCGTCCAAATATTCTGTCAAAAATGGCTTCGAAAAAACGTAAGGGTGCTTAATAACGGTTCTAGACTGTTTATTTAATATCGAGGAAATGTAAAGAGGTTTACCTTGTCCATTAACTGATGCGGTCCTCAGTATCAGCACCAGAACCATCCACCTCCAGAACCCGGATGTACACGGACCCGCCATCGTGTCAGCATACACCACCTAAACAGAAATAACAAATTAGGAAATTTGTGGTAGCAATCTGCATGCAGTTCAAAATATTATCGGTACAGAGAAACACAAAATTATCCTAAAAACACTGGCACCAGCAAGAGACTACATTCTATGATGCCTTGCCTTGCAAGTTATGATTAGTAGTGCACATAAATACGCACGCATGTTCCAACATGACCCCAGTACCACAACACCCTTTGTCCCTTGTCCTTCGGAACCCATATATATATATATATATATGGGTTGCACATGTAGTACCGGCTGTATAGTACCCTGTGTATGTACGATTTGGGGGTGTTTCTCGTGCAATGCACCACACTGCAGCGAAACGCAACGCAACGAATGCGGAAGTAACTACGCCACCGTGGACCAAAAAAAAGTCAAGATTCTGTGACCTGATCAAGACTTCAAATTATTTGAAAATATTGTGTAAAATAAAAATTGGCAGCAGGACAAGGGTTAAAAATTTCACAGAAATGCTGCACGTTACCACAGATACAACCTGCCGTTTCATTTTTGTTCGCACCCTAAACAGCAAACAATGATCACGACATAAAAAGAATTAAGTTATTACTGTTTTTTTTTTTCAATACATTCAAACAGACCGTTGCTCACCACGAAATTTAAGTCATAAACATGCCGACCTTCTTCTGGAGTCCGGTGATTTAATTCACACTGAGCCGGATTTTTTCATTAAGGGAGTAAATAAAAGGGGCCATCTACATTGGAGCCCACCACCCGAAATAAAAATAATAAAAAAATACAAAACCGAGACAATGACAATTTCAATTCATTATTTGAGTCACTTGTCTCTCAGGTCTCGTGCTAAGACTAACTAAATTAATTACTCCTAAAGAAGTTTAGGGCGACTAATGCTGTTCACCGGTTCAAATCAAACTGCCAGCATTATTTCAATTCTCTTTCTAACAAATCCGAAATGCCATTTTTTTTAAAAGCTCTCCCGACTTGGCGATGCCTTCATTTAGTTTTTTTTTTCTGAGGTTGGCCCAGCTTAGTCAAAAGCTTTTTTGTTTACATGTAGAATAGAATTGCATCAGCAAAATACTAACAGCTTTTCATGCTTCCCTACACGTTTGCCTCGGCAGGTGGCGCTGTTGAGCAGGCCCTGGAGATAATCAGTAATGCAGTTAAATTAAGGGGTTGTGGTTTTGCGTCAAAACTTGTCCAACAACTTTTGATTGACCTTAAATCAGTGTGTGACCTTTACTAACGCACGTATACAAACTCACTCCGACACTACTCTGTACATAATCCTGTCTTTTTCTATCCTGGCAGAAAATGCGACATGCTGTCTCAAATGCCACATGGTGTCTAGGATACATGCAGAGGTGGTCATGAAATGGCTTTCCGTGTGTACCTTAGAAATTGAATACTCGATGTTGAATAAATATATGTTTTGAACGTATCAAAAACACATATTAGATAGTGGGTCGTGAGTCGTCCCAAACGCTTTATACAAGTCAGTACTTGTGGTTCTCTTATTTCAGGTATTTTCATTATGGCTTCTCTCATGTTCGTTCTCTTTCTTCTTCTTTTCCTTCTGTCATTTCTTTAAATGAATTCAATTTCTTCATTTTTGGGCCAAATAACATGAAATTTGGCATGAAGGTGAGTGGCCAATATAGGTATTGTTTTTAAACGTTTGGATACAGACTTTTGAAATTGTGTTATTTGTTTTGTTTCCATTTTCAGGGGGAAATGTACATTTTGGGATCTGTAGCCCTTGTATTTTATCGGAATGACCTGAGCAGCCCTGGTATTAAATCGGAATGACCTATAATTCGGTAATGTAAAATGGGGCCTTTGTTTGCTTTTTTTTTACCAAAAATGTCCATTTATTGCTCCTGTGCACTAATACGAAAACCAAATGACCAAAAGAGTAGCTTGGCACCAAATGCTTAAACTATAGTGTTCACTATTCACATTCAGCCCGTTTAAAATGATTTTATATTTACATTACTTTGCGTAAAACAGCAGCTTGAAAACTCAAATACCCAACTGACAGTTCTAAATAGAACACACTTGGGTTCTATCGGTTCTACATGTTTCAACAGCAGAAAGTGTAAGAAGATTCGTCGATAAAGGTTAGACATCCAGGTAATACGATACGCCAAAAAGCAGTTACTCAAGCAACTGGATAACTGCTTTTTGGTGTAAGAAGATTCCATTGCAGCACGGGGGTATAAATTACTGGAACACTTAACATTTTGGAAAGGGGTAATTTAGGATCAGCTCATTTTTTTGTTACGGGGGATGTGGTGAAGCCAGCTGCTGCATTTGCTCCGATCAATTGTCGGCCTTTCTAGTTGTATTAATTCCTCCTCTTGTAGCCAGCAGTCAAATTGCAAGACAGGAAGCCATGTTAACAAAGGCGGTTTGTCTACTAAAACTGGTGTCATGACACCCAGGCACCAAACGAGCTGGAAGGAAAAATTACCTAAGGTCAGGATCAGTGTGTTTTTTCTGCCAGATGTGTCCATCTGGAACGCTGCAACGTAGGTCACACTAACCTAAATGTAACTTCGCGCATGTCATCCAAACCCCAAATTTACTGTACATTTTACTAAACAAGAAAAGCTTTTATAAAAAGCTGGCCGGGGCGTGCTTGGAAGAACTACATGAAAGTTGCATATTGTGTTCCGGAAAAGTTGTTGCAAGAATAAAAATAAATTGCTGTTTGAATTGTGCATGCTTCAAGTTGGATCTCCATTGAAAATGATGTCACCTTGGTGGCATTCTCCTGATAAAATAGATTCACACATTGTTCGCAATATACGTGTTCTTAGCTTGACTTTATGTGCAAAATGCACAGTGCTCAATAGCACGATTGGTCTGGTGTGTGCAAAATGCACAGTGCTCAGTGGCACGGTTGGTCTGGTGTGTGCAAAATGCACAGTGCTCAGTGGCACGGTTGATCTGGTGTGTGCAAAATGCACAGTGCTCAGTGGCACGGTTGGTCTGGTGTGTGCAAAATGCACAGTGATCAGTGACACGGTTGAGTTTGGGGTGTGCAAAATGCACAGTGATCAGTGGTAGGGTCTGTTTGGTCTCAGGGTCTAATTTGGTTGGATCAACAACTCTCTTTTAAACCTTGGTTGGATGTAAAATGTAGAGGCTAGATTTCAGTAGAATTTTATAAAATTTTACTAAAATTTTATTGAGTTTAGACTTTTGCTAACTGTAAGATTCTGTTTTTTTTTATTGTGTCACTGGTATATGTAGCAGAGGACAGTCTAAAGCGTCACTGAAACAGAAATAAAAGATTGTCTTGTTCACAAAACATATTACTAGTACCAACAAAAAACAAAAATCTCCAACAAAAGTTCAGGTGTGACGTCTTGCCAACTGATTCGCTGACTGTTAGCTACAACGATCGAAAATACCCTGCATATTTTTTTTTGGGACGCTCGCAACAATCTACTCCAGCACAGTGGACACTGGTTTTACTAAAATTGCATTATACTGTTCCTTATCAATATCTTTCAAGGTATCTGAATTAATGATCAGTATCTTTTCAACGTAAATCTTACCATCGAAAATGTCCAGCAAATGGACGCACGCCCCCCTCCCACCCAAGTGCATTCACGTGAAACTTCTACATCCTCTACAAAATTTCTCGTCAAATGCCGTGCTGATTTTACTCACATGACACTGTTCCTTAGAATGTAACGTCATATTTTAATACATCCGAATTCCAGCACTGCAAGATAACTTTACTAACTATTTACCATTTTTCGTACGATAAAAACAGTCTCACCTCCTCCTAGACAAGCTATCGCAAAATGAACCGTGCGATTTTACGACAAATCTTACGTGACCAGTGTTTTACTGCAAATTAGACAACATTTTCCTTTCTTAGACTTAAATGATGAGCGTTGCAATGTTTTCTGGGTGATTAGAGGTCATGGATAAACAGCATTTACCGATTTGAAGGGTGCGAAGTCCTTTTCGCGCGCTGAGAATTGTCGTAAAATCACTCGGTTCATTTTGCGATAGCCTTATATAGGTAAGCAGAGGCAGAACACCCCCGGGTTAGAATGGTATGAGCCAATCCGGGGTCAGAGGTCAACAACATATACAGAATTTATTCAAAAGTAAGAAAATGATATTTTTTTTTTTTAGTTTTAAGAGCAGACACGAAATTTTCATGTGATGGCAGTGACTTAATGCAATGCGCTACTTGTATGTATATGACAATATGAATGTGAATTTATTGTGAGGTCATCTTATTTAAGTGCTGTATTTATCGAAAACCACATGGCATGGCATAGCAGTCAGTATAAATCGCTTCTGCATTGCTTTAAACCATCGAACCTACCTACCAAACACCGTGCCATTAAACCGGGCACTAAGCCGGGGCACGCCCCGGCAAAAAAAGCCATAGCGGGGGGTATCTATTCATAACTGAACCGTACCCAGGGTCTAAAGTCTTCATTTTTAAAGTCCTTTAACATAGCCGACCGTGACCTTTCGACCTTGACAAGACCAATATTGGGTAAGCATATCGTGAGCAAGGCGTTTGGAAGTCGGATGGCAATGTTGGGTTCTATTCCTAAAAGTGTTTTGAGTCAGCCGACTAAATAATGACCACGATGTAGCTAAATGTCTCTTTTCAAGTACTTGATTGTATGAATGTGTGACTAAGTCAGTATGCAAATTACGAAACAGAAGGCCTTTTTGACAATGGCGGTCTGTTTGCCCAAGGACATTGGTTTGCCAAACCTGGCGTCATTGTAGTAAAGTAGTCTCTTAGAATAGACTTGATTCGGTATTGATCACATTGTTATCGATGCCATACATTGTACCATGTACAACTGTCAAGCAATAAAGTTCATTCATTCATGACACTGAATGGAAGGTAAATCTGTCTGAGGACAGGGTCGGTGTGTTTTTGTCCACGTTTTGTCAAGCAATAACGCAGCCACTGACGCGTGTCGCACGTAGCTTAGTACGTAGCACCCAAATAC